ATCAGGAAGAGCAAAAAGCTCAAAATGTGCAAAGATGAAAGTTGTAAAGCACTCATTATTTTAAAATGCAAACTGATAATTAAATCGGTAAAATTATCAAATTAATTGACATAATAATTTAATAATTTAATTAAAAAAAAGCAAAACAACGTAATAATTCCTTAGGAAACAACAATAATGACAAGTACCTATCAAAATAGTTTTCTAACATTTCTTGCACTCAACCCGTATTTGAACACATTAACTTGTCCAGTCCATAGCAAAATATTAAACCATTTCATCTTCTTATATTTAAATCCACTATTTCGGGCTTCTCCTGAAACAACCTCACACCTACTCCCTCCTTCGACTCTCTCGGTTCCCTCTCAAGCCCTCACTCACGGAAGCAAGCTTTCATGGAAGCCAGCACGCGGCCGAAACGCACAATAAGCAAACAAGAAGGAGTGAGATAGGGGAGCTTGCTCCCCACTTTCAAAATTTTTTAAATTTTATGTATGTTATATTTTAAAAAATAATGATGAGTGACTTGTTCATATTTTATCTCTTTTACCAAATTCACCTCTAGTAAATTAATCTTAAATTCTTTCCTAATTACAAGTAAGCCCACCTCTATTTAATACTGTTTTCCGGACTTTCAGAAACTTCATCACAAAAATTCGTTCCATTTGCTACCTTGCAATTTAGATAAAATAAATTGAAGGGCCCCACCAGAAAATTTAAAAATTTTTGAGGATTTTTTAGAAAAAAATATGAAAATAAAAATCATTCTGAGGTTTCTGATGGAGATGGCCCCACATGTTCCCGCAGCTTAAAACCTGGTCTGGATACCACTAAAAAGACCCGTCCTCTGGCTAAAACGATAATTTATTTTTTTGGTTAATGGTAAATTTTTATATTTAATTTTTTTTTATAAATATTTAAATTATTTATACAACATAGACTGACCACTTGTTGCCTATTTTAGACACCACATCCTCGTATGCAGGGACATCATGTTGCTTGCAATTGAAAAGGGACAAGTTAAAGAAAGGTCATTGGCAATATGAGTGTTCCTGGACTGATTAGATCGATTCAAACCAAGTCAAATCGATAAAAAAATGATTAAAATTTAAAAAATTGGTTTAATTCAATTTTAAAAATATATGAACCGATCAGTTCGATTCAGTTATGTTCGGTTTCGGTTTTGTCAAAAAGAAAACCGAACTGAACTGGTTTTATTACATATCATATATATTACCAGTAATACCCAGTTCCCTCACTTTCTCTCTCTGGGTCTCTCACAAAAGCAATGAAAACAAGATGGAAAACAAAGTACAAAACCAGAGAATAGAAAATAGAGAGTAGTGGGGGGGCGGGGGAGGGGGGGGCGAACCATGGCCTTCGAAATTTCTTTTAAGTGTTCCGTAGAACAAGAGTATGCAATCTCTTCTCTATCTCCCATGCCCGAAGGAGTTATACATATATATATATATATATATATGTAAGAGAAGTTGGCGGGCTTCTCTCCTTTACACAATTGATTTGCCAACTTAATTAATTCTCCCTGTACATGATCCATGTAAAACCAATAAAATGCAAGTGGTGAAACTCTTGGCCAATCACCATCAAGGGTAGAAAAGTCAACCAACATCCCATTGCATTAAATGCTTCTGCCACCCATGTAAAACCAATGAAATGCAAGTGGCTAAAACTCTTCGCCAATAACATCAAGGGTGGAAAAGTTGGTTTATTTGACACTGGGTGTGCACCCACTGGGGTAGCGTACCTAGGGGCCATTAGATCCGGACACCCTCCTGTAGAACCATGTAGGGGGCTTGGATCCAATGGCCCCGGGGTATGCTGCCCTAGTGGGTGCGCACCCAGGGTTAACTTTACTGGAAAAGTCAACCCACGTCCCATTGCATTAAATGCTTCTACCACCCACTTACATGTAAACTTCACCTTGGAAGCTCTTCCCAATTGACCATGTGAACAATATAGCCAACTTAATTAATTCTCCCTCTAATGCAAGTTGCAACTAGCCAACTTATACGGAACCTCATTTGTTCCATCCGGTTCTATCCCAACCGAGCTATGATTGGCATGTTCTCCAGCTGGCAACTTCCTTTTGGATGAAAACACAATTTTGTCCATACAATATGGCAAGTCGTGACATTAACCTGTTGTCTCTCTCTAAACACGATGAACGCACCCTCTTCTCCTCTTCCTCCATTCACACAACAAAGGGACGCCTCCAAATAGTTTGGTGAGTTGGGGAGTAGCAGAAATCCAATGGGTTGCCTCCTTGAGTTGCAACAGTATGTTCAGTTCTACTATTACAATTTTCCAAATAGTTTTCTGGAAATTACATTAATTGAAATCCCAGTCTCACTTGTCTCTCTGGGTTACAAAATCGAACCTGAAATCCAGATCTTTTTTGCCTCTTTGGGTTACAAAATTGAACCAAACCTATCAGGTTAATCGAACTAAACCGACCTAAGTCAGTTTGGTTTAGTTCAGTTCTTTTGTAGATACAGAACCGATAATGTCTAAGAAAGTTTAGGACTGACACGTCTGGTTCGATTTGAAAAAGGTCAAAAATCGAATCAAACCGAACATTTGAACACTCCTAATTGGCAATGTAAGTCATAGAAAGCCAACAACAATATTTCAAGTGAACATGTTTGAATATGTTGTCCAACCAAGAGGTTATAAATGGTAAAATGCAAATAAGTAGAACATTTGTAATCCAACCAAGAGGGCTATAAGGGGTAAAACGCAAATAAGTAGAACATTTGTAGTGGGAGATAATGGTAAATTCACCCTTCAAGAGTGTAGCCCAACACCTGAAAGGAATTAAAGTCGGTGTAATTATAATTTATAAATAATATACCGTTTGTAAAATGAGATGGTCTTAGCAAATTGTTTAGCCCATAAGATTTGAGAACCAAAGAAAAGTAAGACAATTTTTTTCTTTTTAAATCATTTGTTTGTTTTATAAGGAAAGAAAAAGAAAAATGAAATAAATTAAGAAAATCTCCGTACGATCTAAGAATTATTAAATCTAACAATTTATTGAGTCTAAACAATTAGTTCAAAATGTTTAAAGGTAAATTGTTCAGTAATAATTGTTAATCTCTTATATATTATATTATATTATTTTCAAGAATCGATGTGAGACTAGTTATTATAATTTCAAATTTATTATGTAAAATTTTTTAAAATTGGAGAAATTTGGGGACAAAATATCAACTGCATTTATTTAAAATTTTTTAAACCAAAATCACATACTCAAACATAAATGTATGAAAATTAAACAATCAGCATATTTTAGTGTTTCTCAATTTCTTTTTCAACTATCCAAATAAAAGAGATAGAAATCAAAATATTTTTTTTTCACTAAAAAAAATTGTAACAATTTTATTTTCTTCTCTTCTCTCTCCTAGGTTCCAAAGGGTATCCCCTCTTCCCAACCTCGTATTATTGTAGAATCAAAATCTTACAAGGAACACTCACTATCACTCACAATAACTCTGGAATTGAAGGTGATCAAAAGAGCAAAGTCTTAAGCCCTATTTATAAATCTATAAATGCCTTAGTAAATACCCCTAATCTACCAAAGAGATTTCCTCAATCTCTTTATAGTCGCATCCCCTTAGCCGAAACAATCCTAGCCCTAGGATTTAATTTACAAATAGATACAATCTTTAATCGGCGGCTTCGTTTGAATTCTCGCCCAACGGAATAGCTCCACCTATGATTTTGGTTCAGATCTTCATGGATTGAGCTCTAATTTTCAATCGGTTCACTAGTGGTTTGGATTTCAAATGATTTCTATCCATTTGAGACTCTGGGTTTGCCCTCCATGATTTGGTCTGAGATTCAAGTCACCCGAATCTCTTAATCTCTCTAAGTACAAAATTTTAGTGCCAGGCTTCTAATCCAACTTCACTGGTGGCAAATCCTTCTTCTCGGTATCATTGCCTTGCTTTGAAAGCCTCATCCACCTCATCGATGTGGGGTGAGCTCCCCTACAGCTTCCCCGTCGACTGTAGCTTCTAGAAATCCCCCTACATGTGATGACTCGAATTTGCGACACGTTTCTTGATTTCTCTTACCCAGATCCCCCTGTTTGCCAAGTGGGTTCAACCCACCTAGATGGGCCTGCCAAGCCAACCCAGGCCCAGTGGTCTAAGCCAGGGCCGATTGCATCTAAACTGGACCACCAACCCCCTAGCTTGCTTCGGGTCAGGTTAGGTCAAGGATAACATGAAGTATAACATATAAAAAAAAGGCTAAAGAACTTCTGGTCCGGTAAAATTTCTTCTATATCCTATATACCTCTGAACCATTCAAAAAACTAAGAATAAAAATTATTTTATAAAATAGTTTAAATTAATTTTAGAAAATTAATGACAATTTTTTAATTAATTTTGTAAAATTCATTCGTGTTTTAATTTAATATATAAAATAATATTTATTATCAATTATAATTTATTAATTTAAAATTTTAAACTTTTAACACTTAAATATTTTAATAATAATATTTTAAAAATATTTATATATAAATTTGGAGACTTCAAAGGAATAAATATAATAGTTGTTTCAATGACATTTGTTTTAAGTGGGTAGGTACAGTTGATAATTTAGGATATGAATAATATAGAAAAAAAAATTACAGAGTTTTTTACTTAAAAAAAAGTATGTTTACTTCGCATAAAAGTATGATCGATAAATGCATGGTTTAAGTTTAAGTACACGTTAATGTTCATATTTTTCTTAAAACAAATTCGAAAACTAAATCAAAACCAATGTTCATGCACAGGTGTCTTCTGGTTGTCGTCATAGCTGACGTCTTCCAATTTTTTAATTCGGGAACCATCCATCCTCGTCGTCTTGGCTTAAGACGGACCGTCACGATCTTTTCACTACCACTGTTGCAAGGCCCATCTTTTCTCTGATCCATATCAGTTGACCGTCTCAGCGACTTCCCCATTCGTTACCAATCAACTAGATCAGACATGGAAGCAAGTTTGCTGTACTCATCCCTCACTATTGTCTTTCTCGTCATTGCTTTTACCTTCTTCTCCAGCAAAAAATCTCATCGCTCACGAAACCTGCCTCCGAGCCCTCCGGGTCTTCCAGTCATCGGTCACCTCCACCTCGTGAAGAAGCCCTTGCATCGATTCCTCCAGGAGCTCGCCCAAAAACTCGGACCTGTCTTCTCCCTCCGGTTCGGCTCCCACCTAGTAGTTGTTGTGTCCACGTCGACAGCCGTGGAGGAATGTTTTCACTAAAAACGACGTAGTCCTGGCCAACCGCCCTCGCTTTTTAAGCGGCAAGTACTTCAGCTACAACTATACTGGCGTCTCGGCGACCCCCTACGGCGACCACTGGCGCAACCTCCGGAGAATCATGGCGGTTGAACTCTTCTCCCCGAGGCAGCTCAATTCGTCCTTATCCATTCGTCGAGACGAAATTAAATGTCTACTCCAAGGCCCTGCACAAGATCTCCTCTGCCGAATTCGCGAAAATTGAGCTCAAATCGAAGTTTATGGGGCTCAATTTTAACATCGTCATGAGAATACTCGTCGGGAAGCGTTACTACGGCGACGAACTCGACAACGACGCGAAGGCCAAGGAGTTCCAGGAGCTGGTGAGAGAATTATTCTCCGCCAGCCGCTTCTGGAGACTGAACGATTATTTGCCGATTCTGCGGTGGATCGATTACGCGAATTTCGAGAAGACTATGGCTAGAATTCACGGGAAGACAGATCGGTTTTTGCAGGGTTTGATAGATGAGCACCGGCGCGATAAGAGCAACAATTCTGTGGTTGATCGTCTGCTTTCCTTGCAGGAATTAGAGCCAGAGTTCTACACTGATGAAACTATCAGAGCATTTATCATGGTACTTCAATTATTTATTTTTCATTGGTTTAATTGCACTAATCACGTTTTAATAGATCCATTAATTTCTAAAGAAATTGTAACAAGAAAGTATAAGTGCTCATCTTACTCAATCTAGTCTGTTTATGGTTGTAATATTATCAATTTATCATATTGCATTTATCTCAAAATATAAATTATTATATATGTCGTTATCACTTTTAATATTTTAATAATACGCATTTTATTTATTATTAGTGAAAATATTGTGGAAGGTTGTCAAAAAATATTTGAATTAAATAATGTACAAATATTAGTCCCTTGAAAAGCTTATTTAATTGTGATCTCAAAAGAATTAAGCATGTATTAAGGATTTATTTGATATTAGTTACTAATTTATTGGGTCAATATCATAATATTTTTTAAAGTAGTATCAAATTAGTATATGATATTAATGTAATGGTATTAAAAGTATTAACTTATTAGGTCAATACATAGTGTTGAATTCAAGCGTAGGCGTGTTAGGAGTATTGAGTGAGAAATAGGTCCAATTTGAAAATAATTTCTTTTCATGGATATATATATTTTTTGAAGGATATCCAAAATTGTCATTGTGGACATTTCGGTCACAAATTATTAACCTTGTCATTCATTTATATCTAATAAATCATGCACAGATCATGATCCTTGCGGGTCCTCACACTACTGCAGTGGCAATAGAATGGACAATGGCTCTTTTAGTTAACCATCCAGAGGTGTTGAAGAAGGCAAGAGCCGAGATTGACACTCATGTTGGCCAAGAACGCTTGATCGAAGAATTTGATCTCTCTAAATTGCATTACCTTCAAGCTGTCATCTTGGAGAGCTTTCGATTATTTCCATCGGTACCGTTGTTACTTCCACACATGTCCTCGGAAAGTTGTACAATCGGAGGATTTAATGTGCCACCTGGCACGATTATATTGGTGAATACTTGGGCTGTTCACAGGGACCCTAAGATTTGGAACAACCCCGACAGCTTCAAACCCGATAGGTTTGAAGGTGGAGAAGTGGAAGTGCACAAGTTATTGCCCTTTGGAATGGGAAGAAGGGCTTGCCCAGGGGTCGGGCTGGCCAACGAATCTTGGGCCTAAGTCTGGGCTCATTGATCCAATGTTTCGAGTGGAAAAGGGTGGGCAAGGAGCTTGTTGACTTTGCAGGAGAAGGAGGGATAACCATGGCCAAAGTCGTGCCTTTGGAAGTCAAGTGTAAAGCAAGAAACATCGTGGACAATATTGTATGTTGAAGTATTTTGGAATTTTTATTCCCCTTTTAGTTTCCATGTAAAGCCTTTAAAAATCCCCTAAGTTTAAATGTCTGGGCTATCCCTCTACTTATTAGTGATACGTTAAAATCTTTGATCGACCTGTACCGAAAAAATAAAACAAAATAAAATCTTCGATCAACACTCTTTATGTATGAAACTAATTTCTCTCTTGATTGAGCACACTGTCTCACAATTGATCTCTTATCACTCCATTTGGTGTTGTTGGATTGAACTTTGTGCTTTTTACCGTTGGATGAAATACTTAAGAGATACGGTATTACATTACAAGAAGAATGTAACAATTTGCAGATTAATACTAGGTGTTACTCGTTTGAACATTTGCTTGCTTGAATTATATATTGAATATTCTCTTACTTGAATTCATGTAATTTCTTTTAGCATGGAATCCTGATTTTAAATTGTCTCCTTTTTTCTCCCTTTATGTGCTTGCTCAATGACTAATTTCTTCTCTTTCTTTTTGGAAATTTTGAAAATGATTCGTTTCTTGCATACCCAATTTCTATATTAAGATGACTTCACTTGTAGATGCTCCTAGAAGTTGGAGAAACCATGTCCACTCGATCAATATAGCTAAAGAGTATTAAATTCACACGAGTTATCATAAAGTGCTGAAAGTTTAGATTAAAAACATAACTGGTGAAAGTCATCACTTCTTTTATAAGTTCGTCCTTTCTGTACAAAGTCAAGAATGGTTGCATTCTGCTGTCACTATAGAAGGAAAAACGTTCTCAACAAAGAATTTAATGGCATGTCATCTCTTTTGACAGTTCATGAATGTGCCATTTTTCTAGTTGGAAATTGTGCACTATTAAATTTTAACTAAATACATATGTGCTGAATTGCATATTAGAATCGGAGGAATATATTAAAACCTTCTATTGCTTCAAATTGAGTCTGAATTGATGATAATCTGCTTCACTTCATTCCAGTCTTGAGAGACATCTCCACTCCTATGAACCCTCTAAAAATGCTTATAAAGTTAATTGTTTCACCCTTATTTCCTCTGACGGATTCTCTTAGTTGTTAGTACTTCAGAAATTTCAGACCTAATATTACCAACGCAAGAATAAGGGTCAGTTTACCGATACTCTTTCCAATGATTGTCTGTCAGAAAATTACTGTTAGAGTCAAAATTGATTCAAAACATTTTCTATCACAATTTCTAATACTTTTTTTGATGACAATTTAAAAAAAAAATTACAAAAGCAAATTTGCGTCAGATATATTGGAAAATAAAAAATAAATATTATTTAAGCATCTACGTAGATTAGCTCGTGGATTGCAGTTATACAAGAAAGAATGAGATGTTCTGTCCTTTTACAGGATTGATGAGAATTTAAGTGTAACTGGATTAGAGGAGCTCTTTAGCAATCAAATATATGACCATTTAAAATGTTATAAATTGTAGATTATAAATATGAATGTATATAAATGTGTGAAGGTCAAAGCATAGAAGGAAAGCCTATGAAGCTTCTGTCTTCTCAGCTTCACCAAGTACAGGCACAAAGTGAGAAAAGAGACGGACAGTTGAGATGTCACAGTTGGAAAGGAAAACCAAAAACCATAGTAGGATTTTAATAAGTTGTAAGAAATGAAGAGGGAGGCAAGGGACCCATCTGGGGTTCTATAGATAAGTAGGGTTATAGATGGGAGAAATGCCCCCTGAAGGATCAACGAGTGAACACATGCTAGGCATTATTGAAGTACAAAGCCTTGTAAGATTAAAATATAAAAGGAGAAACACGAAGGCCTCTTCCCTTTTGTACCTTCAAATCCACACCAGCAATTCAAGATAAGTATGAAGCATTTCCAGACGAAGAATATCAATTCTCCATTAGTGTTTGTGTGAACAGCATCACCCATGAGCGGCATATGCTTGAGTCTACTTGTTGAATTATTATATTCATAGAGTTAGTGTAAAGGGTTTGAGGAGACATAAAACATTGTTTAGCGACTTGTTAAGCTTAAAAACACAATCACAAACTCCAGTTCTGCTGTGAGGTGAAGTAATGATAGTCTTCTTGGGGATCATTTCACGAGCAAATGATACATCATTATTAGCTAATCAAATCCTCTGAACAGATATATTATTGCGATGCACATCTCCTAACAATCACTTCCAATTTTCATATAAATGAGACTAGAGGTTGGCCGGGCCTCCATAATTGTGACATTTTAAAATTTATATATTTTAGGGATATATATATATATAATTTAACAGATGTTCATATATGGATTGGATAGCAGATAGTCAGAATATGTTCAGACCTAACACAAAGCATAATCAATAGAAGACAAAACAATAATGAAAAATACATTGGTGCAAGATGAATCTTTAAATATGCAAAACGAAACAAATCAGAAGAAGAACATCCAAAGATTTCTTACCAAAAGCAGGGAAGCAAAAGCGACTGATGACCCTCTTGAAGAGGACTCAACCAAAAATGATCGGTGATGACCGAAGACCCAATTGAAAAGCATCCTTGTCAGCCAGAAAACTAAACCAAATAAGATGACCGACAAAGCTGTCGGGATAGGGAATGGTGCAGGAAGGCTAGAATTTAACCTGACCAAGTGAAAGAGTGAGAAGCAAGAAGAGTGAGAGTGAAATCTAAGGAGAGAAGAGTAACAGAGTGTAAGAGTGCGAGAGATTACTAGAGACAGAGAGAGATTGCCAAAGAGTGAGGGAGACAGAATGTAATCTAAGGAGAAGGGTCGAATAGACGCGTAATATTTAGGGAAATTAGTGACAAAAAAGTGAACGAAGAAAATCCTCGCCATTCAATTAAAAATTTGTGATGGAAAACAACCCACACTATTTCGTCGCTAATTAATTTCGATTAGAGAGGGATGATATTTCCCTCTTTATTCCGTTGTTAGATTTCAATATCAAAATTAGCAAGGGAACAAATCTCTCGCTAAAAGGCTGCTAAACTACTTAAAAATTAACCAAGGAAACAAATTCCTGCACTATTCTCTCACCAAAATATTTTCAATATGAATGGAAAATTTTAATTTCAAAATTAAAATTTAGTGAAGGAGTAAATCCCTCACTAACACATTGCTAAAGTGTGACAGTAGCAT